AGAGAGAGTCATCGATCAGCTACCTCTTGCACGCCTCCTACTGGGGATATGCCCACAACCAAGGTACATGCCCTTAACCGGAATCGAACCTGGGACCTTCAGTCCTCAAGCCGACACTCTATCCATTGAGCCAAACTGGTTTCAGCTGCTTGCAAGCTTGATCCCAATGAAGGGGTGTGCAGGAGGCAGCAGATCAGTACTTCTCTCTCATCATGGATGTTTCTCTCTCTTCCTCTCCCTTCCTCCCTGAAACCAATAAACATATCTATACCAATAAAAGGGCAATATGCTAATTAGACTGGACATCTTCTGGACATCTTTCTGGACAACCTTCTGCAAAAAGCCATGGCGGTGGGGGCCAAGGGAGAGGCGACTAGGGGCGACCAGGCTGGCCGGGGAGGGAAGTTAGGGGCAACCAGGCAGGCAGATAGGTTTAAAAAAAAAAAAAAAAGAATATTAACATCGGCTGCCACTTCTTGGCCCTCTACCGTATGCCAGGCACTCTGTGAGATGCCTGAGCACATCTGATCTTATTTCATGTAGGAACCTCAGCCCACACATTCAGGCACACTCAGCATCCAGCTCTGGACGATGTTTCTATCTCTCCGTCTCCTTTCCCTGGGTTTGTGACAGAGTGACTCAGTGATGGGCAAGTTTCAAGGGCCACAGAGCTTGCTCCTGAGCCGTCCTCCCCTTCCCTCTCCCCCGGACCCATGGGGGGCTGGTCAGCGGCAGCCTGCCTGCATCGGAGCCCCGCCCTGTGCAGGTTTGCATCCCTACCTACGTGGCCCGAACAGGCTGCTTTCCCTCCGGTGCCTCTGCCTCCCCATCCATAACATGGGCGTGTGGCCAGAACCTGCGTGAGGGTCACGGTCCGGGTGGAAGAGCGAAGGTCACGCTCAGCACATAACGTGTTTCCCCGAAAATAAGACATCCTCCGAAAATAAGACCTGGTGCGTGGAAAGATAAGACATCCCCCGAATTGCCGGGACCGGTTTGGCTCAATGGATAGAGTGTCAACTTGGGGACTGAAGGGCCCCGGGTTCGATTCCGGTCAAGGGCATGTACCTTGGTTGCGGGCATATCCCCAGTAGGGGGTGAGCAAGAGGCAGCTGATCGATGACTCTCATTGATGTTTTGAACTCTCTATCTCTCTCCCTTCCACTCTGTACAAAAATCAATAAAATATATTAAAAAAAAAAAAGACATCCCCTGAAAATAAGACCTAGCACACTTTGGGAGAAAAAATATTAATATAAGACGCTGTCTTATTTTCGGGGAAAACAGGGTAGTAGGAGCTTGGCAATTAGTTTGATCACCCGTTCCCTGCCCGGATCTTCCTGCTGGGGGTCGGGTGCCCTGGGGTGCAGGTTGGCGACAAGGGGACCCCTCCGGGGACCCCCAGCCCAGCTGCCGCCTCAGCGCCGTTCCTCTCTGGACACTGCCCCCAGCTCTTCTCCCTCCTGTTGCTCGCTGCCCCACCCTCCTGCTGACCCTCAATCCGGTGGTGGTGATTCCTGGTGTCACGGCCATCGGCATGTTACATCTTTATTGTGTAGATTCTTCTCTACTTTCTGCCCTGGCTGGTTTGGCTCGGCGGATAGATTGTAGGCCCGCGGACGGAAGGATCCCGGGTTCGATTCCGGCTACCGCCGCTGCAGGCTCAATCCCCAGCGCTGTTCAGAGCGTGTGTGAGAGGCAACCCACCTGGGTGTGTCTCTCTCACATCGATGTTTCTCTCTCTCTCTCTGTCTCTCCTCCTCCCTTCCACGCTCTCTAAAAACCAATGAGGAAATACCCTCAGGTGAGGATTAGCAAACTAAAAAGAATTCAGAGTCACTTTCCCAGCCTGGCTCTTACTCTGCACCCAAATGGCAGGATACATGCTGGGTTCCCGCCCTTTCCAGAACAGGAAGGTGGCGGATGGGTTTGCTTGTTTTTAGTATCGTTGTGAACTCAGATCTCTACATATTAACCAGAGGCCCGGGGCCTGGACTCATGCACCCGTAGGATCCCTCGGCCTGGCCTGAGCCCTCTTGAAACCTGGGACCCCTGGGGGGATGTGGGAGAGCTGGTTTTATCCTGATCCCCGCAGGCCAGGTCCAGGGACCCCACGGGTGCACAATGGGGCCAGGGAGGGACAGAGGGAGGGCTCCAGGGCCTGTCCGGCAGTCTCACCCGGTCCTGATTGGCTGGACCCCAGCAGCAAGCTAACCTACCAGTCAGAGCATCTGCCCCCTGATGGTCAGTGCACGTCATAGCGACTGGTCAAATGGTCGAACGGTCAGAAATTTAGCATATTAGGCTTTTATTATATAGGATGTGTTTCATTCCCTCATAATTCTTTTAAAAAAATATATATTTTATTGATTTTTTACAGAGAGGAAGAGAGAGGGATAGAGAGTTAGAAACACTGATGAGAGAGAATCATCGATCAGCTGCCTCCTGCACACCACACACTGGGGATGTGCCCACAACCAAGGTACATGCCCTTGACTGGAATCGAACCTGGGACCTTCCAGTCCGCAGGCCGACGCCTATCCACTGAGCCAAACTGGTCTTGGCCATTCCCTCATAATTCTTATTATCAGGTACTCAAATTGTCCTGTCTTTGACTAGTGGGAGCCTTTTCAGACTGTCTTTTATTTCTCTTTGACATTTCCCCATTAAAAATGTCCTTACTTTCTGAGAGGTTCCATGGTCAACTATTTCCTGTCCCAGAACAGGAATCAACCCTTCTCCAAGGAGTCCTGGCTCGTTTGAATGGCAAATGGTAATTAGAGACCATAATCTTTGTTCTTTTTAAAAATTATTATTATTATTTTTTTGTTTGTTAATCCTCACCCAAGGAAATTTTTCCATTGATTTTTAGGGAGAGTGGAAGAGAGAGGGAAAGTCAGAGAGAAGCATCCATGTGAGAGAAACACATCAATTGGTTGCCTCCTGCATGAACCCTCGCTAGGATTGGGCGGGGGGAGGAGCCTGCAACCAAGGAACAGTGCCCTTGACCTCAGTCGAACCTGGGACACTTTGATCTGCAGGCCAACGCTTTATCCATTGAGCCAAACGGGCTAGGGCTGTGGTTGGCAAACTGTGGCTTGCGAGCCACATGCGGCTCTTTGACCTCTTGAATGTGGCTCTTCCACAAAATACCACGGCCTGGGCGAGTCTGTTTTGAAGAAGTGGTGCTAGAAGAAGTTAAAGTTAAAAAATTTTGGCTCTCAAAAGAAATGTTAATCGTTGTATTGTTGATATTTGGCTCTGCTGACTAATGAGTCATTACAATATTATTGACTATATTCTCTATGCTACACTGTTTTATATCCCATATATGAGTGAAATCGTGCTGTTCTTGTTCTTTTCCATCTCACTTATTTCACTTAGCACGATACTCTCAAGATCCATGCATGGCGATATTTCATCTTTAAAAAAATATATATATATTTTATCGATTTTTCCAGAGAGGAAGGGAGAGGGATAGAAAATTAGAAACATCCATGAGAGAGAAACGTCCGTCAGCTGCCTCCTGCACACCTCCCACTGGGGATGTGCCCGCAACCAAGGTACATGCCCCTGACCAGAATCGAACCTGGGACCTTTCAGTCCATAGGCCGATGCTCTATCCACTGAGCCAAACCAGCTAGGGTAACACTTGTGTTCTTTCCACGTTGTGGCTATTGTACGTGAACATAGGGGTACGTACATCTAGGTGAAGAGGTGTTTTTGATTCTTTAAAATATTGCTTTATGGCATTATGTGTCTTGGTGACGCCATCTTTCCCTGCCCCCCTGCCTTAAAGGCTGTGTCTGAGTACGCTGGGCCCGGGGAACCGCTGCCTGCTCCAGGGCGCCACTCCCAGGCAGAACACAGAGCTGCCCCTGTGGGTGGCAGGCAGCAGAAGCGGGCGATGTGGTGGTGAGAGGTAACCCCAATCACAGTGTTGCAGTGTGTGGGCGCTGTTAAGCATGTCGAACAAGCAGCGTGTCATGGGTGGGGACCGCAGCTCACAGCGCTCATCCTTTGATTGCTGGATCATGGGGATGTCCAGGGACTTCACGGGGAGGTGGCAGCGGGGGGTGGGGGGGGTGGGGAGGGGGCCCGGGAGTCCAATTGGCAGGGAAGAATTTTCCATATCACCTAATCATAGACAAGCATGTAAATTGACCGTACCTCTGCAACGCACACAGCCAACCAGGAGTGAGTATGCAAATCAACCCAACAAAGATGGCGGGTTAATTTGCATACACAGGTGCAGAGCAGGTTACCTGCTATGAAGGGGAGGGTGGTGGTGGAGGGAGCTACAGGAGTGGTGCTCCAGCCGGGAGCGAGGGCTTGCAGGCTCCTGGGTGGCCAGGAGTGAAGCCAGGGAAGGAAGGCCTACGCTTGCATGAATTTCGTGCATCGAGCCTCTAGTATTTATTTTAAAAAAATATATTTTATTAATTTATTTTTTTTACAGAGAGGAAGAGAGAGGGATAGAGAGTTAGAAACATTGATGAGAGAGAATCATCCATCAGCTGCCTCTCGCACACCCCTCTACTGGGGATGTGCCCGCAACCAAGATACATGCCCTTGACTGGAATTGAACCCGGGACCTTTCATTTTTTTTTTTAAAGTATATTTTATTGATTTTGTACAGAGAGGAAGGGAGAGAGTCAGAGAATTAGAAACATCGATGAGAGAGAGTCATCGATCAGCTGCCTCCTGCACACCCCCCACTGGGGATATGCCCACAACCAAGGTACATGCCCTTGACCGGAATCGAACCCGGGACCTTTCAGTCGGCAGGCTGACGCTCTATCCACTGAGCCTAACCGGTTTTCGGCAAGCCTCTAGTATTTTAATCAGTGATGTGACACCCCCGCTGACTCTCAGCAGGGCCCCCACCCCATTTCCTGGCGAAACCTGGGGTGGTGGGCTCCAAGCCACGTGGCTCTGATGGACCCCCTGGCCCCCGTCTGCGGACTCACCTTCTCCCTGCCTCTCTGCTTCCCACCCAGGACCTCCTGGGAATCGACAACGATGACTATTCCGATTATGAGAACTACAGCACGGACCCCAATATCCCCGTGGACAACTCTTCCTACACCCCCCCGAGGCTGGGCGCCCCGGACGTGCTGTCCCTGGCGATCTTCGCGGTGGTCTTCCTGGTGGGGGTGCCCGGCAACCTCATGGTGGTGTGGGTGACGGGGTGCGAGGCCCGGCGCGCCATCAACGCCATCTGGTTCCTCAACCTGGCCGCGGCGGACCTGCTGTCCTGCCTGTCGCTGCCCATCCTGTTCGTGAACATCCTGCACCACAACGACTGGTCCTTCGGGGAGGCCGCCTGCCACGTGCTCCCCTCGCTCCTCCTGCTCAACCTGTTCGCCAGCATCCTGCTGCTGGCCGCCATCAGCGCCGACCGCTTCCTGCTGGTGTTCAACCCCATCTGGTGCCAGAACTACCGTGGGGCCCGGCTGGCCTGGGTGGCCTGCGCCGTGGCCTGGGGCCTGGCCCTGCTGCTCACCATCCCCTCCTTCGTGTACCGGAAGGTGAACGTGCAGCAATTCCCCGACAAGATGGAGTGCGGCCTCAGCTACGGACGCGACGCCGCCGGCGTCCGCAAGGAGAGGGCCGTGGCCACCGTGCGGCTGCTGGTGGGCTTCCTGTGCCCGCTGGCCACCCTCTCCGTCTGCTACACCTTCCTCCTGCTGCGGACCTGGAGCCGCAGCGCCACGCGCTCCACCAAGACGCTCAAGGTGGTGGCCACGGTGGTGGCCAGCTTCTTCCTGCTCTGGCTGCCCTACCAGGTGTCCGGGATGGTCCTGGCCTTCCTGCCCCCGTCCCACCGCCACTACAAGGCCGTGTCCCGCTTCGACGCCCTGTGCGTCTCCATCGCCTACATCAACAGCTGCATCAACCCCGTCATCTACGTGGTGGCCGCCCGGGGCTTTCAGGCCCGCGTCCTCAAGTCCCTCCCCGCCCGGCTGCGCAACGTGCTGACCGAGGAGTCCCTGGCCAAGGGGTCCAAGTCCTTCACGTCCAAGTCCTTCACGCTCTCCACGGTGGACCAGAGGAGCCAGGCCATGGTGTAGGAGAGCCGCCTCTGCCCGCCCCTCTGCCTGCCTTCGGCTCCGTCCTCTCCTGCTTCCTTCAGCTCAGCCCCGGGCGAGCCTGGGGAGGGGGGGCTTTTCGGGGAGCTCTCCGCCGTCCTTCCTCGTTTCCGAGACCAACAGAACCTGCCTGCTGGGGCCACGCAACCTTTCTCTTCGCCTAAGGACGTAGCGAAACAGGCGCCGATATGCCAGGAGTTGCCCTGGTCAGCGTGGCTCAGTGGACAGAGCGTCAGCCTGTGGACGGAGGGGTCCCGGGTTCGATTCGCGGTCAGGGCACCTGCCTGGGTTGCGGTTTGATCCTCGGTAGGGGGTGTGCAGGAGGCAGCCAATCAGTGATTCTCTCTTATCATTGATGTTTCTATCTCTCTCCCTTTCCCTTCCTCTCTGAAATCAATAAAAATATATTTAATGAACATAAACTGTGCACCTATGGATGAGGACAATGGGGGGTGGGGAAAGGGCAGAGGGTGGGGTGGGAACCTGGTGAAGGAGGGAAAAATGAGTAACTTTTGTAATAATATGAACAATAAAGATTGATTTAAAAAAGAAAAAGCAGAAAAAAGTGGAACGCAAAATAGAAACAAAAAATAATTTCAACAAACAGAAAATAACAAATATGGTTGATATTACTCTAGTTATACCAATAATTATTTTAAACATCAATTGTCTAAATACATTATGCAAAATACAGATTGTCAGAGAACATTAAAAAAAATATATATATATATTAAAAAATATATATATATATATATACTACCCTGTTTCCCTGAAAATAAGGCAGGGTCTTATATTAATTTTTTTCTCCCAAAGTTGCGTTAGGTCTTATTTTCAGGGGATGTCTTATCTTTCCATGTGCTAGGCCTTATTTTCGGAGGATGTCTTATTTTCGGGGAAACACGGTAGAGGCCCAAAGCGTGAAGATTTGTGTAAGAAGGGCCTTCCTTCCCCTGGCTGCCTGCACTGCCTTCGTTCTGGCTGGAGTCGCCTTCCCGCCTTCCCATACTGCCCAGAGGCCTGGAGCAGCTGGGAGCGGTGTGAAACACAAGTGTCCTTCCCCAACCCCAACAGATATGGCGAGTTAATCTGCATATACATGTCTGCTCAGCACATGTGTATGCAGATTAACCTGCCATATTTGTTGGGTTCATTTGCATACTCATTCCTAATTGGCTGGTGGGCGTCGTGAAAGTGCGGTCAATTTGCATCTTACTCTTTTATTAGTGTAGATAGCAGGAGTGCCCCCAGTCGGCAACATGTTTGCACCGGGAGAGAAGGTGCAAAGAAAATACAATAAAGCCCTGGTCAGGGAGCTCAGTGGATGGGAGCAGTGTCTCCTATGCCAAGAGGTGGCGGTGGGTTCGATTCCAGGTTAGGGCACATACCCAGGTTGTGGGTTTGATCCCCA